AGCGTGTTTTGGAGCTTATTAATAAACGGAGTTCCAAACTGCTCTATAACTAGTATACACCAATCCACTTTACACATTATAATTAGTGAGTGAACGTTTCTCTTTTACAGCGCGTAAGGTTAAGCTTTTAAGGCAGTTCAGACGGCCAACAACAATCGGTTCGTCACTGCATCCCGCTGCGATGCGCTACAGAGGTGCAAGCAGGTAGTGGAAATTGACGGGGAGAAAAAACAACAAGAAATGAACTCACCTCGTTTTAAAGAAAAATGAAAGCAGTAAGCTGCTCTGGGCAATCTGCGCCGCCACTTCGCAGTGAGAAGGGATGCGTAGTGAGAAGTGCTACCGACAGATGGCGCACGCCGCGTCGAGGGGAGCGCAGGCCGATTCGGGTTTGATAGCAGACGATCCCGGAAAAGAACCCAAGTCGGCCGGCGCCCCCTCGACGCAACGTACGCCGTCTGTCGGCAGTACTTCTAACTATGCTTGCATCGACTGCGAAGTGGCGGCGTAGACTGCCGAATTGCCAGTTTCTTTTTTTGTTTTTTAACGAGGTACTTTATTTTTTGCTTTTTGCTTTTTTTCACGGTAAACTTCCACCGTCTGCTTGCACCTCTGTAGTAAATTACGGCACGGTACGATAAGAAACCGACTTGTGCGGGCCGTCTTGAGTGCCTTTAAAGTGCCAGTTCACCTGCTGTACATTTTAACGCGAAAAAACGGAATTTGTAATGTTTCACAAATTCGAATCCCCTGGTAAACTTAAAGGGAAACGCTAATTCGGTGCATAATTCCATTTCCCGCTAAATTTAGCGAAAAAAACGGTGTGTTTGCACTTCCGCTGGCCACTCCCGTTGCTCTTTTTGGCACAACCTTGCGGGTAGTGTCTGTCTAATGAGGTGCGCAAACTCCTATTCAACTTCAGAGCCAAAAAGCGCGCGAACACGACGGATTCTTATGTTGGAGTGGCAGTCGCCTCCAAGAACTCAGCCAGTCACCCAGGTGGCCCTCCGTCAAAAGGCGGTTTGCACACGTGTCAGAGCAGAGCTGTCATTGCTGACCTTATCTCGTTTTACCGAGATGCCGAGCCTCCACGAAGGACTATGCTGGGGAGAT